TACGCAACTCTATTATATTGATGATGATTGCCAATCGAGAATAATAAGTTTCGATGCGATCGAAGTACTTGTAAGTACTTATGCGCGTTTAATAAGATCGCGTTTATCGATTCTAGCGAGTTGTATAAAGATTGGTAATCGATTCTATAAACACATGCTAGTCAAAGTTAAGTACTATTGTAGCGATAATATATTTTTACTGTAAAAGGAAACTATCGCGGGCAGGTTGAAGGCTGGCCACGCGTTTCGCTGTAAAGGATAAAGGATAAGGATATAGTCCCCCTTTTTTTTCTCTCTTTCTCCTTATCATTCCACGTTCCAATGAATATATTTAATACATTGAATCGCGATGCACGTGATAATCGATCGAAACAACGCTTCGAATTTTACAATATTACGAAGACACAATAACGATTGCATTTATTACAAGACTTGTTAAATAACATAGCTTCTAGTCAATGAGGAAGAGGATCAAACTATTTAAAAAGACAAGGAAATTATTATATATAATAATTATTTAAATTCAATCGTGTATTCGCGCGCATTGCGATTCAATTGATCTCCGATACGGGAATCAGAATCCCTCCAGGCATTCGAGCTTGACGACGAAATTATTGGAATTGCTGGAAGCCAGGGGGACGCGTGCCAGTCTTCCAGCCTCGAACAACCATATCTAAGAATTTACTAACGATAATATTATTGATCACGAATAGCGAGTAACGTTTCCAAGGGTATTATATACAATATAATATGCTCTGTTTATAATTTCTGTACATATAGTCGGTGTGTGGCATTAGCGTAACCAAGGTTTCTTTATTTTGTGATCCGAGATAATCGTCGCTGGAGATGGAGAACGATTTTTACTTGTGTATATATATTATATATTATATACGAAGCAAAAGGAAAAATGGAATGGCTAGAAATCGATATACCAGTGTGATGAAATGCGCTCGAATCGTCTTTGGAGCCATTATCGCGTTTCGATTGATTTCGCTCGCGAGTTATCGTATAATTGCACGTTCAACGGTGCGATAATTAATTCTCGAGAAACAAAGAGGAGGAGAGGAGAAAAGAGAAGAGATGAGGAGAGCGAGAGAGAACTGCGAGCGATTCGTATTGTCGTCGTCAGGGATTATTTATGCGATACGAGCAATCTGAAACGCTTTTAACTCACATATACACATACAAATTGTAGCATACAAAAACAACCAAAAAAAAAAAAAAGAAAAGAAAAAAAGAAAAAAAAAGAAAAGCAAGAGATAGACTAAATTTATTCTCTCTCTCTGCGAACTTAAGTCCTGTTCTATATATACGTATTAGAGTTTTGCGATTGAGAGGAGTAAGTATCGTCTGCGCGTACTTACACGAACGTAACACGAACACAGATGCATAAGCAATTCGTTCTTCGTGGTTGTGTCGATGCTACCGACCCGACGAAAGTGCTCTCGATTGCACGCGATCGTAGCAATTACGGGTAAAAATGGGGGAAGTGCAATCGAGAGGGACGCCATCTTTCTGCACTCTTCAACTCTTAAAGCGTCTCGTTTCTTTTTTGCGATATCGTTCGAATAAAAGAACGAACGTTTTAGTTCGATGAATCGCTAATGGCTACTTGATTCTTGGAGTGCAATTAAAAGGAAGTGAAGACAGGAAGGTTGTACCCGAAAATTTGAAATTTTAAGAGAATGATTCTTCAACTTTTTTTTCAAAAATGTCAGTAATACATTATCAAGGTTCTTTATCAAGGTTAATTAGATTCTTGAAAAATTGAATATATGAATCTTATATTTTGCTCTGATTAACAAAAAAATTGATGTTAATATTCCAAAGCAAGATACAATTTACGATTTATCGTAACACTTGCAATCTTTTCACCTGTTATTATAGTCTTTCTTGTTTTTTTTCCAAGTACAATATTTGGACAAATTCGTAATTCCATCTTTATAAATTTATATTATCGATTCTGATATTATAATACTCCTAAGAATGTTACAACATTAAGCTCAACTTGATATCATTTCTAATCGTTTCGAGCAATGCACTTAACACGTGCAATATATCATCCCCGTGTGCCAGAAGAGAAAAGGAAAGATGTCGAGTGCTGAAATGCGAGCGTTACTTGGACGAGATCGATAGCATCGAGCCACGAAGTCTTCTGTACATACTTCTCCCGTATACAGTCCGTTGATCACACAACCGATGATTCTGTGCGAATGAGAGAACGACAAAGATATAATGAAAAGAACACGTTGCTTACGTACGAATCAAGGGAGTTGATTCCGCGTAAACGTTTCGCATGTGATGAACACCGTGCCATCTTTATTCAGCTGTTACTTCTAACTCACCCTAAAAACGGCATGAATTCGAAAGATAGATACGTATGAAAAGACAAAGAAAAAAAGGAAAGCGTGAATTCTACTAGATGATAAGGGCATACTTTTACCGAAAAGTAGATGAAGAAATCGGAATCCGTTTACTTTGACAATCCGTTCTCGACAAAATAAGAAAGGAAATATTCAGTTCGGACTGTTCGAATGTATTCCGAAGGATATTCGAGAAAATGATCTTTGTTCAACGGGAAAAGATATTGTTTATAGGAAATTTTATATAAAAAGCCAATCATCAGAGATCGTCCTTCAAAATGTTTAGTTCTCCTTTCTCGAGCGAGGGAGGTTTTAAAAATTAGAAGGAAAAAATATGTAAAGAGGAGAGACAGAGTATTTTACAACGGTCAGAAGGAAAGTATCTGTTGTCGAGAGTTTAACGAGAAGAATATAATATAACATAAATGCCGCGTTTATTTTCGAAATCCTTATTACATATAGTATAAAAGTCGCCACAGTTCACATGGAGGGAATTCGATGGGTAAATAATGAAACAAATAATGAAATAAAAAATGATAAGCGAACCGGGAATTAACGTACCGGCCTATTATCCCACGTTTAGAACGCATTTCATCGGGTGGAGAATGGAAATTCCAATCGATTTATCTTTTTTGAAGTTTTTTATAATCAAGGTAAGCGGGTGCGTGTGAATGAGCGATGGTGATCAAACAAAATCATTATTATATACTTCGTAAGTAAATTATAAAAGGAACTCATACACAGTTTGTAGCGACTCGAGTCACTGATTTATTAAAAAAGTAGAAGAAATAAAGAAATTAAAAAAGAAATTCTTTATCTTTTCTTTCTTCCCCTTTGTTGAAATTTTTATTTTAAAAGAAAAAACAAAAAAAAGAGAGAGAAAGAGACAGAGAAAAGGATGATCGAGAAGATAGATTGTCGGATTGTGTAACAAAAAAGATTCGATTTATTGTTTGTAACGTATATTAAAACAGATGTATAATATATCGATAGAGCCAATAAAATCTACGATCGCGTTGTTCTTTAGTTGTTCACATTTAACTAGATTTTTGTTTCTTACAGATATACCTCACAAAAATACACTTCTCTTTGTTTGTAACATTCCTTATTCTTTACGGGAGCAATTATGAGTAATAAAAATATCGTTCAACGAATTCGATACGTTCATAATTACACGAACGTAATTCTCTTCGCCTTATTTATTTGTTTCCATTTATATTCTCGCGTTTAAATATGTATCATTACTTTTATTTTATTTTATTTTTTTTTTTTTTTTTTTTGTTTTTTGTTCATCACAGATTACTCTTTCCCGAAAGAAATACGCAGGCCATAACGTTTGGAAACTTTCTTTCTAACAGTTTCTAATGCGATAAAATTCAATTGACGCGTGACGTGCCTTTCTTTCTTCTTATTCAATGGTCACCATATTATTACTTTTTCTTTTTCCAAATGATCGACGAACGACGATATCCAGGATAAAGAAATTTCTATCTCCCAGAAATTACTCGATTTACGTACGCGATATACGTACGTAACGATATACGTATAATATATATAACAGTGTCAGCGATAAAAGTGCTCATCTCTTTCTTTTGTTATCTTTTTTTTCCTTTCTACGTATATAAAGAAACAAATACGTTAACAAATACGTTAACAATTACGTAAAACGAGAGTAGCACGAATGTCTGTGTGTGTTTTTTTCTTTACTTATTATATATAATATACTGCATATTTTTACTTTCTGGCACAAAAGTTAATATTACGTACGGTAAGATCTGTACAAAAATAAGGAGCAGCATTTTAAGCGATTATTCTTGGGCGAAAATACGAGATTCGAGAAATTTTACTTTTTCCCTGTGTTTTTTTCCTAGTTAGTTCCTTTTAACGTGCTCGAGTAAACGTTCTTCGTTCTCTACTTTCGCTTGGTTTTCTTCGAAACGCGCTTTCCCATGCTATGGCTGTCCCTATAGTTGCACATTTAACAATTTGTTCAATTTCATTAAATCATATATACTTATTAGTGTGTGTCTGTGTATATATATATATATATTATATATAATATATTCTAAGATTTCCTATAAAAAAGAAGTTTCGTCGCATGGTGAATCAACAACCGTACGATTCGGCGAAATATTCGCAAGTTTTCTTTTATTTAAATATATATCAATCCGTCGTAAAATTTCTCTACTCGATTCGAATAATTTTGCACCATGTGTGATTATATTAGATTCACGAAATCGTACGGCTGACGCTACCCTAAAGTCTCCTATAAAAATAATACAACAAGCTTCGCTATGTTACCATATAAGTCGGTAGCCGTAAGATCTTACAATTATAACAAAATAATTAATATCGTTTACGCGGCAACAATCGATTCGGTAAATTGCATCTCTTTCTAATCTCTAAGCGTAAAGAGAATGTGATCTATCTTCGGTGTTCAATAGCTTGTACGAGAAAAAGTATATATTCCTGTAGACCAATAACGATTAATTGCTATATAGGCAAAAACCTTTGCGAAATGGATTGACTAGCGATTATTAAAAAAAAAAAAAAAAAAAAAAAAAAAAAGTTCTATATAAAATTGGGTTTACAACCCTCGAAAATTATGAAATCGGAGAAACGAACGAAAGAAGATGAAAGAGGTCGAAACTAAATTCGGATGGGCAAAGAACTAGTTACAATAATAAATGTGTAAGAAAAATAGTCGATGCTTCGTTTCTTGAACAATATTTTTTACAAGCCAACTATAACTACGGATAATTTTTTTTTTATCGGAGCAACGTATCAAGATCATGTGATATTAAATATCGCATGAATAATCATCGTGACAGTTGCTCGACATTATTATGTATTTTGGGTGTTACTTTTTTCGAAGTTTTTACCTTGTATTCTCCTTGTATTCGACGGTACAGTCACCCTCTTTCCAGGCGTTGAAGTCTCCAATCAATTCAATGGCACTTGCACTGTAAGGCTTATACAGTATATGTACATGATACAAGTACATAATGCCTTTTAAGGGTTTGTACATTTGATATTTAATCGTATCATTAGATATTATCTTTGGCTTTGAAGCGTCTTATATCTTTTCTTTCTTTTCTTTTCTTTTTTTTTTTTTGTTTTTTTTTTTTTTTTTTTTTTTGTTTTTTTTTTTTTTTTTTTTTTTGTTTTTTTTTTTTTTTTTTTTTTTGTTTTTTTTTTTTTTTTTTTTTTTGTTTTTTTTTTTTTTTTTTTTTTTGTTTTTTTTTTTTGTCTTTTGATCTTTCACCCCAAAATACATTATTTATCAGAAGCTCAATGAAAATATTCTGCGAAGATATTATACTTGTCCTTTTGATACATACTGTTATCTCTTTTATTATTTTAGTTTCACGATAAATTTCATTAACTTTTCTCTTCTTTGATTACTATTTTATAATTAGACATTTGCTAAATCGTTTTGGTCAGTCTATGTATATATATTTTTGTGTGTGTGTACATGTATGTGTGTACGTGATAAGACTGTATGATATTTTCGTAGATATTTCTCGTTTTTAAGACACAAGAGTAATTCCAGTCCACTACGCAAGGGAAGAATTTTAATCGATCAACGTGTTTAAAGGGAAATCGGGGAATCGAGAATCCCTAAAGTTGCGCTCAAAAAGTTACTTCGTTTATCGTAGTTCACTGGTTCTTTGAATAAAAATTAATTATTAATGGCGATATTAGTAAACGGATCGAAAATTACAATAGCTAGTAAATAACACTTCCCATGCAACACGATATAATAATAAAATTAATATATAATCATTATAATCGTTCGCTATTATATGTCTATACGACATTACTGTTTTTTTTTTTTTTGTAAATTCAAGGTAAATTAAAAAACAAGTTATAAAAAAACAATGGCGAAAAATCCTATTAAAAATTATCAGCCTTTACTGGCACGTTACAACTGAATTTGTTAAAAGAAAAAAAGAAAAAAGAAAAAAAAAAGTAAGATACAAAAAGTCGTATCGAACATTTAAAAAACATCATTTTACAGACATTAAAACTAGCCCTGCTTTTTATAACTATTCGAGACTAGACCTAAAATTGGCTATTAAGATAATTAAATTCTATCTTTTATTATCTTGTCATCTATCGTGTGTAGTCCCCTAAATATAATAATTTATTAGAATATATTATTCAATCAGTGAATAAACTTTTATAGAGTAATACGTATTAGATATGCAGCTATAAAATTAAAGTGCAAAATAGTCTTATTCTTTTACTTTTACGAATTTCGATACAGCATCGTCTAATAAACAGTCTTCCAACATAAGCATGCGTATCTTTTTTATTAAAAACGCTAAAATACCTGATAAACTTTCCTAGTCGATTTATCGAAATATAAATTTTTTTTCAATATAATGTGGGAATATGATAAAATAAAAAAATGTCTAAAATAGATTACTGATAATAAATAAAATATTATAGATTTACCTCCTCTTTAACTTCTGCCAATCATATACGAATAGAAAAATATATCGTTAAGCTGATTAATAAGAGATAAGAAATATACAAGGTTGTACGAAATCGTAAATCGGAACAACCTCATAATAGTTTTCAAATGCCTCATTATTTCAAAGAAAATGCTGAATTCGAAAAACCTAAGATTCTATAAAAGGTTAAAATACACAGAATATATATACATATATAAAATGTATCCCACAAAATCTTTCTATCCCCCTGATACAACGTATTTGTAATTAGATGCGAACCAGCACATACAGTTATCTTCTTTTTTTCTCCTTTTATATGTAAATGCGTTTGATGTAATTACACTAATAGAGTTGATACTCCTCGAATTTTCGGCACAGCTTATCGATTTCTTCGTACCTAAATTGTGAGCCCACAGGGCTGGAAGCCCTAGTGGCAGGTGCAGTTCTACTACGACGTACAAAACTTCTTAAGGGTATTTTGCTATGTCCCTGATTATGATTCACATCTAATGTCGAATATCGTCTTAAAGCTCTGCTTAATCGTTCCGACGGTGTATAGTCGGTCACTTCTAAGCTATGCTGATCCTTCAAAGTAGTTTTAGTCTCTTTTGTATCCAACATTTTTAAACTAAAATTTGCAGAATGTCGTTTAGTCCTGTCCAGCATACACTTTGTTTGGACGATTTTAGGCTTGTCTTTATCCAATATCAATGAGTTTCGTCGTTTCATTTTATCGTCCATTGCCCTTTCTTGATTCACGCTATATCCAAACCTCGATCTCATCACAGGTCCAAGATATAAGTGATCTTTTTTATCTTGCTGTTGATTCTCCTTCACTAAACTCAAACCATCTTCATAATCAATCGATCGTAATCGTATACCTTTCATATGATTAGTACCATTGGTTCTTCGTTTTATACCATCTTCGTACTCGGCCGAAAAATTTCTTTTAGGCTTTCCTTTCTCGAAATTTACAGAATTCCTTTTAGTCCTGTCTAACGTACACTTTGACTGTACAACTTTCGGTTTGTCTTTATCTAATATTAACGAATTTCGTCTTTTCATTTTGTCGTCCATCGTCCTATCTTGATTTACACCGAATCCAAATCTCGATCTTATCAATGGACCAACATATACAGGATCTTTCTTACCAAGCTGTTGATTTTCCTTCACCAATCTTAATCCATCCTCGCAATCGATGGAAGTTCTGGCATGATTAGATTGATCAGTATTGGTTCTTCTTTTTATACAATCTTCGTATTCAACGGAAGAATTTCTCTTAGGCTTTCCTTTATCGAAATTCATGCCAGTAGGCCGAATATGATTGAACGAGGTTCTTCTCTTACCAAATATGGAATCTTGTAAATGTGGTATCTTGGAAGTACTCTGAGAGAATTGCACCGGAATCCTGATACCAGCATCCACAAGGAATTCGTCATCCGACAGCATTACCGGTATCTCGGGCATAGAGCTACAAGGCCAACAAGAGTTATAGTGAGCTGCAAGCGTTCTTACAGTGGCAGTGTCCTTGCTGGCAATGTTAGTGGAAAATTCGCGAGCATAATCTCGAGTTAATAGAAAATTTTGCTGCGATCTTCGCCGATTTTCTCTCATGATCGCCAAAAAAACAGATTTTGCATAATCGGACGAGGGACAAGAATGAAAAGTATATTCTTCCCCATAATTGCATTCACACGTTTCCGGCCACAATATAAAGGGCAATGATAATTTCGATCGGCTTTGCTGAGTCTTTTGCATTAGATAATCACTGCACGATCCATTGTCAAAGTTAGTATGGGTTGTACTAATATTTGAGTTGGTATACCCTATTCTTTCCCAAGGGTGTGTTAGTTGAATTCTGTTAGATGCAAAGCATGCAGAATTTGATATTAGGTTTCTGCTGAAATTGTTAACTAAACTAAAAGATAGAGAGAGAGAGAGAGAGAGATTCACAACTTTATTTTTCGTCAGTTCTAAAGAGTCTATCTTTTCTATTCGAATATTAGTTCTATTCGAATGTTAGTACAACATTTATAATTAAAGTTACTTTTATTTATAAAAATATATATATAATGAATAAATAAATATATAACTTATGTACCTTGTTTTTAATGATTCAGTTGATGGACGAGGAGAAGTTATGCTATCTATAATAAATATTGTTAATTTTAATTACTATTGTATAAAGTAATCTATATTTGAATGATAATAACGAAAAACAAATACTTACCTTTGGAGGTTGTTTGCGGCCTGAAAAAGGAATAGAATAAAAAACATTAAATTAATTTAAAATATAATTAAATTATTACATAGTCAAATTGATTACATGAATAGATATTCAAATTATAATATATACTTACGCTTTCGAGGAATCAGCTTGTCGCCATACGCCTATAATTAAAATATTTTAAATATTTTAATCAAAAATAAAATAAAATAAAATAAATGAAAATAATTTTAATAATAATTTAGTAATAATACATCGAAATTTTTTTTCACATACCTTTTTTCGGAGCTGGGACTTTTCCAATTGCCATTCCTGATATTTTCTTTTCTTCTTCAAATTTTCTATTATCTTCAATTTCTTGTTTTGAAAGTACTCCACTTGGCTGAAACAAAATTTTTTATGTAAAAATGTTTTGCATTAATACATTAAATTATAAATAATATTACTTACAGTTCGGGTTTCATATTTAAGTATTGTCTCGTCCAATTTTTTTATAACAATTGTTAATGAATTTAATACATCTCTATCTTTTTCGCTATTTATTAAATGCGTCACCGTTGTTTCTAATATAGTTAACAATTTTTTATCAGCCGGTATTCGGAGGAGACTTTTTAATTGAGGCATCAAATTAACTACTTTCATTCTTATGTTAGCTATATTATCTTCAGCCAAACTTAATAAAGTAGTATAAAAATGCTCCTTGAAATAAGCAGAGGAGAAAATTTCTAAAGCTTTTATCATTATACGAACAAACATCATTCTCGAGTAAGAATTCGTATTATTGGCCAATTCTGAACATAATTTAGTACGAAGTTCTACTCTTTGCGCAGGTTTTATGTTATAACGTAAAAATATAAGATATAGATTTCCCGATGAGAGACGAATAGGTATTGCCCTCTGAAAGTTAAAGGTAAAAAAATTTGATTGTTGTATATTATTGCAAAAAACAAAATATATAAACGAATTTATATTCAAAACTTACAGCATGTAATATTCTGAAAAAAGCCATTGGCACAAAATATGAATATATAAAATCACTTGGAAAATATTTAGGCAATACTTCAAACTGTGAATGTATTAAAGATACTAATCTCCAATTATGTGTACCTGCTATTTCTGATTCACATTTCAATAAAGCTCTACCTATTTCCATAACAATGGAATCCTATATTTGACAAATGGAATTATATAAATATAAAATAAATATATTTCATAAAATTATTATAAAAAAAGCATACAAACCATTTTATCTATGCCGATAACGTGACTTTCAACCAAACATTCAAGAATTAATGCTATATGAGGAACTATACCTTGTAAAACTTCTTCAGAATTATCTTTTAATAATTTTATTAGATCTGTTTTTATCCGTCCACTTTTTGGACCCAATACTTTGGCTACCTGTATAATGATTTTCAATAGAAAATTTTATGTCCTTTTTAAATTGTAAATCATAAATTCTTACTTCATGAATTCCACACGCTACAGTTCTCCGAACCAAATAGTAATGATCGCTTGCCAATGCAGTGAATGTAAGAAGCAATGAATCTGTATCATCTGGAGAATTCGATACAAAAATGAACATTGCTGGAAGATTAAATGCGCAACATCTTCTGCATTCCACGTATTTCTCGTCTTCGTCAAGATCAATATCCATCTAGATTCGTATTTTGAATGTAAAATGTATATTATAAAATACATTTAATTTTATGTTTTTATACTTACAAATGGAATATGATGCTTGGATTCTTTCCTCATTATAACAATGCCCATTTGTGCAAGTTGTTGATAATATTTTAAAAACCATGTTTTTTCCGCGGGTAATAAACATTCTAAAATATCAATAGAAAAATGAACATATTGTGATTGCAAAAACAAAATTTCAATTAAGAAATCTTACTTTCTAGGCCAAGTACAATTTTTCCAAATTCTTGGGAAATTATACATATCACGCTATTGTCGTGATATATAGACTGTGAAGTTTCACATAATTTTTTAACAAGTGGAACTATGATAGTTTTTATTGTTTCTGTAAATAATTGTTATCATATTTTTATCTTGATAAAATACTTGAATTTTAATTTAAAAATTGAAATATATTATTATAGAAAATTTGAAATGCTTATGATGCATAACTAATCATTAAGCATACCTTCTTGAAAATAAGGTAGCAAATACGCTATTGTTTCTACAGCGGCGCATCTTACATTGCTTTCTTCATCACTTGCTAATTCTACGAGAGATGGTAGCAAAGAGGTTTTTAGAGTGTCAACGTTAAGGCCTTCAGCAACGAAACGTAGCTGCAAGCAGATATTAGCTCGTACTTCACTATTTACATCCTGACAGAGGGAATGTACCATTGGTAGAACTTCCTTCTGTATCCTGACAACAATTTTAATACGTATACTTATTTAATGACTTTGTTGAAATGAATTTCTTTGAATAATTTTATTTATTATTAAATTTTAATATGTTTAATCTTTCATTTAGAAATATTGTTGCTGATATAAATTGATTAATAATAAAAATATTAATATTAGAATTTGATAAGATGAAACATACTCACAGACCAGATTCAAATCTTGTACAAATCTTTCCTAATATCTTGCTGCATATTATCCTTGAATAGATAGGCTGTGATAATTGCCCTTTGTTTAGACTCAATGGAAGTATCTGTATAATTTTATTACTATTATCATTCATATGATATTACATTAATTTCAATAATGTTCAAATTTTAAGAAATATAATTATATCATTGATGATAAATATTTAGCATTTTTTATAACAAGTGAATTTTAATACTTGCTTAATCTAATGCCAAATAAAATAAAAATAAATCAATTTTATTTTTTACTAAAGTACTATAATCATATTATAAAATTGCATACATGCTATAAAAATGATTATACATTTGCCCTTCTAAATGACAATATTTTCTGAATATCAATTTCTAAGATCATCTATACAAACCTGCTTTCTTATGGTTTCTATCGGCAGTAACTCTATCACATCCAGTAAGGTCTCCAGCCATGCATGACAGATAACTTTAAATGTACATATATACATGTTTAGTTATATAGAATAATATCAAATGCATGAAACTGTTTAACTAGCAAATCTAATGGATAAGCAAAAACAATTTCTTTACCTGGATCACGCTTTTCAAGTGAATCTAAGATACTTTGAAGGAATGTTCGACTAAAAACATTATGGTTGACAAGTTTCTGTTCTAAAATTGTTTTGAATGTACTTGAAGCTGCAATGTGAAATTCCGTAGATGCAGTAGCTAATGACTGCTGCAGTTTTGGTATTACACGTGTTATACATGATTCTGTTTCTGTAGCTAACAGGTTTGGTAATGTTTGTATAAAATTAAGTTTTTGAATTTCATCGCCTTTCCTGAAATAATTATACATATAACAGCAAACAAAACAAAGCAATAGTTAATTAATAAATTATAAAAACAATGATTTATATTATTTATATTCTAAATTTTCTATTATTTCAAATAAATATTCATTATTCATTATTATACAAAGAAAAAATTTTATTAAATTTTAAATTTAAAAAAAAAATTATTTATGAAGCATGAAATTTTCTATAATCATTAAATTTTTATAAAAATAATCCCATCAGCCAATTATTTTCCTTAAATGTATGCAATTTTCAAGGACAAAAATCTTTACATAACATATCCTTTTGAAGCATGTGACAATGTTTTCACTGCTATAGTATATATGAATGCATTGTTGCATTTTTACAATTTTTATTTTTCATAAATTGTCATTATCATAATAAAACATTCATTATTATAATGTTATTATATAAAAAAGAAAAAAGATCAATAATAGTATCAAATTTTTAAATAACCTACACTTTGAAATTTTATTATTCCAAACAAGGTCTTAGCTAATTGCTTACGATAGAATGTCATTTCTTACGAGTGTCTTTAAAGGACTATAATTAGCTACGCTTAAACGACAGGATAGTATACTTCTTGAACGACGCTGTGATATTTTTAGAAATCGTGCATGAGTTCATACGAAAGAGAAACAGCCGAAAGGAAAAGACGGATGATATATCGAACAATAACGAACTAGATTTACTAACTAAAAAATCATTTTCTATCCAACTGCTTACCGAGGAGATGTGCTCTTGTATAGAGCTTCCTCTTGCAACATTTTCAAAGTGCATTTTATTCGACGAAAACACAATAAAGGAGCGAAGACAAGATTAATTTTTTTTTACATGGATGTTACACGCGTACGCACTCTCATGACGCACTTGACGTAAGAAAAACAACACAACGGAACGTAGATGACAACTAAACTGGGCTCCTACTAGTCCTACTCCAAAGTATCGATTATATGTGACTTGTCGTACGAGACGTCGAGTATTTCCGAGTTTAGCCGGAACAGTCCGAACACAGCCTACGTACCGATGAAAACACGTAATGCTATGTCGCGCGTAATACAATAGAGCGATGCGTTGATCAGTAGTCAACGTTGTGTAATCGACAAACCGATGTAGTCATGTCACGATTCTTGAATGATGATGCATATCGTTTTAAGATACATTATTTGCATATTTCTGAAAAAGAATACTGCTTAAATCGCAGTATTCTTTATAGCCTATTACGCAACTCCGTGACACGAAAATCTACCGCAATGGAGACTTTTTTTACGAGTTCGTAAATTTGTAATCTTTCATCTAGTATACTAATCTTTTTCTTATTTATTTGTTAAAATTGAATAATAATATGGACATGTGTAGTTAATATAATAAAATTAATTTGTGTATTATATATATAATCACACAGGATTACATGATTTAATTCAAGATTCTATATAGTATTATTTCTCGAATCACTATGCGCAAAATTATTACAATTAAACCAAGCCTAAAGCCATATATCAATTTTGTGAATACTAATGACAAAATTATTTTCACTTTCAGAGAAAGTGAATCATTATTGTCTCAGATTTATCATCAACAAATATACATATAACCTTTATACACTTACGTCAAAAGATGAAGTGCTCTTTCTATAGGTTTTTTTTCCAAATTAGGATCTAAAGTGTGTTTCTTTAATTGCTCTTCATTCTAGAGAAGGAATTGTAAATCGATCGTTTTAGAAATGTTCTACTTTGAATGAAATGAATATGAATAATGTGCACATAATGTTACTTACTCTTATATCAGGTATAGGCTTGTCTAATTGAAGGCTAGCAAATTCCTCATAGTCCATAAACATGATGCACGCATTTTACGATGAATGCTGTTAACGGATATAACCCCATTTATTTGAAAGAATTGATCAGAACAGGAAACGCATATTCAGGTGATATCTCGCACGGAAGTAAAAAACACGATCGTTCGCGATGGATTTCAAGAATGATTATTGGAATTCTACATGTAGATGCTCCTATAGGAAATTCTTGAAGATGCAGGACGCAAGAAATGAATATTACCGAACACACGCAATTGTATAAAATATGAAATATATTTACTTTTCATAGTATGTCGTATAATTTAGATAATATACGTACTTTACGGGCATTGCATAGAGTTTATCATATACGTTTAACAATATAAAAGATTACAGTTTACATTAATATATACAGAAGAGCGAAAGATTTGGATCATATTTGAACAGCGCCATTGAACTTTCGCGTGTATCTTATAGTTTTAAGATAATCGCTTGTATCCTCATACGAAGCACAATTATATGTTCTACAATTTATATGTTCTAAGTTTAAAAAATATAAAACAAAATGTGATAATTATTAATAACAGAGAGAGAGGGAGGGGAGGAGAAGAGTATGAATTATTCAATTGTAATTTTTATTCCGCAGTGAATGAACTTCTGGTTAAAAGACAAAAAGGAAGCGGGAAACACAAATGTATATAGAATGAAAAAGGAAACGCGATGATGCAGTCAATGCTGTTTTCTTATTGCGCGGAACGTATTAGCAAACGTGAAACAATCTCGAAATTACGAGACATTTCGATAAAGAGATGTGCGTTTGGTTAAAAGTATTTAAAAAGATAATGTTAAAACAACGAATGGAAACAAACCTCACTCCACCTTTCTTGATTCGACTGCAATAAAATTTACATTTTATTATCGCGATTCGTTCCACAGATATTGATGTCTGAAAGCAGTTTGCATTCGAATATCTATGGAAATATTTTTTTCTCTCTGCTCGCATAGTATGCGTATTTTACACTTTATATATATATATACATATATATATATATTATATATATATATATGTATATATATATATATATATATATATATACTTCATTTTCC